TGCACCTACCTGAAGTTCAGCAAAATAGACCCCTGGGTACCCAAAGAATTGGAGAGGTAACACCAGCAGTGTGGTGGACCCAATGAAGCCTTTAGCTAAGGTCTAAAGCAATGCCAAAAGACTTTCTGTGGAAAACAAGCGCTGGAGTGGGAGTCAGGATGTCTGTGCCATATTACCACCACTAAATACTTGCCCTGGCCATGGTTTCCACCACCTCCATCAAGGACAGTCATCTTAATATTGACAATGGCACCACAAACGTTTACTCTGACAGATAAATGATCTCCAGCAGAACACAAACATTTAAAGTGGCAGGGTGGGGGGGGAAGATACCTTGTATTTCCACTCCTCCAGATCATATTGAGTGTTTGTGCTCTTCCTATTGTGATGTCTTGAGAACCCAACTTGTCCTCCCATTCTTCACCCTGAAGATGTCAGTTCTGATCCTATGGAAACTGCACTGCTGAAGCTGTTCTGTATCCAGCTGTCTTGTTCAACTATTTTCTTAAGTGCAACTGGTCACCACAAGTGTCATCAGCCATTTTAGGTTATGAATGCCATCCATGGACTCTGTAACAGCAGCCAAGGGACCTCAAGGTACTTCTTTCCACACAGCTATGGCATGACACAATCCATCTGCATATGGCCACGGGAGCACAAGCAAAGCCCCCAGCAGACCAGTGCTTGCAAAGCCACATGACAAAACGTATTAGCTCAATGCAACCAAAAAATCCTACAAAAGGAAGATCATCTTTTCTGCTGGACATGCTACAAAAGCAGATCACGTGCCCTTGCTGTTTTCTTTCTGGAGCCAGAGTGATATATCAAAGGATAATTCAAAACACATTTGGATAGGCTTGAGGTAGAAGAACACAGGGCAGTATGTCCAACAATCCAGAGAAACCCAGGGCTTATTAACTCTCTAGTCTTTCTTTCTTTCTTACCTCCCCCACATTTGACAGCTCCTGGAGCAGGTCCAGCATCATTGCATCAGCAGTACTGCCAGAACCCATTCCACATGCTGAGCAGTTTCTGAAGGAAAAAGCATTTCCTGACATCTGTTCTGAATTCACTCCTCTTCTCCTCCCCCACTTTGTTTCACCCCACACTCCTCTCCAGCTGCCCCTCCATCACCACCTGTCCTTGACTGACCAGAGCTCACCAGTAAGAGCTGAGGATCTTTGTAGAGAATTGATGACCCACACCTGTTCCACTCCTGTTCCTCCCCCCTGCTCATTTTCTCTGTCTGCTGTTGACACAGGATTTTGTTCTTAGCAATGGCACTGAGCAATCAGACCCCAACCCAGCAAATCCTTTGGGCATTCACTTTCCTTCTCATGTCCGAGTTTCTCCTACTAGAACAACAGGCTTGAGCATTGGCTAAATTAAAAGGACCTTTGCAGGACCAAACCCATGACCAGAGTCATTACTCTCTCCTTACTCCCTTTTAGGATGGAGCTGTTGCAATGCTAACGATTCCAAGGTCGAATTTTGCCTGGTGCACTTTGATGAAGCTGGCAGGATAGGGAATGATTTCCACAGACATCTGATTCCCCTCAGAAGTTTTCCCTCATGCTCTGCCTCACCTTGTGCTAGACAAACAGCTACAGAGTCCTAAGAGTTTTCTGCATCAAAAACATTCAAAAGAAAATAAGATTAATCATAGAATCATAGAATAGTCTTGTTGGAAAAGATCATTATGATCATCTAGTCCAACGGTAAACCCAGCATTGCCAAGTTCACCGCTAAAGCATGTCCCCAAGTAGCACATGTACACGTCCTTTAAATCCCTCCAGGGATGGTGACTCCACCACTGCCCTGGGTAGCCTGTTCCAATACTTGACAACCCTTTCGGTGAAGAATTTTTTGCTAATATCCAATCTAAACCTCCCCTGGCGCAACTTAAGGCCGTTCCCTCTTGTCCTGTCACTTGTGACTTGGGAGAAGAGACCAACACCCACCTCTCTACAGGCTCCTTTCAGGGAGTTGTAGACAGCAATTAGGTCTCCCCTCAGCCTCCTTTTCTCCAGGCTCAACAACCCCTGCTCCCTCAGCTGCTCCTCAGCACACTTGTGCTCCAGACCCTTCACCAGCTCCGTTGCCCTTCTCTGGACACACTCCAGCACCTCCATGTCCTTCTTGGAGTGAGGGGCCCAAAACTGAACCCAGCACTTGAAGTGCAGCCTCACCAGTGCCCAGTACAGGGGCACAATCACTCCCCTGGTCCTGCTGGCCACACTGTTCCTGACACAGGCCAGGATGCCATTGCCCTTCTTGGCCACCTGGGCACACTGCTGGGTCATGTTCAGCTGCTGTTGACCAACACCCCCAGGTCCTTTTCTGCTGGGCAGCTAAGTGACCCAACAAGCTTTTTCTGCCAACTATTTTGCCAATAATTTTACATATACAAAGACAGATGCAGTTTTAAGGAACCAAAAGTCATCATGATCTTAATACTTACCCCTGCAATGCAGAATTTTAAATAACCTGGATATCTCAGCGCAGTCCCCGAGGTTTTGTTTTCGGCAGGACACGACAGACACCACCACGTACGCCAAGCATGTAGCAGATTTTATTAAGCATAACTTTGGTTCTAAGTATTCCACCCTCATTCTTGTCATACCTTTAGTTAAAAACAATTATACAAGAGCAAATACAAAAAATATTAAATTATGAAAACAAATCCATTAAGGCTCCCTTTTTATATTTATATATATTTATATATGTACACTCAAACAAGTGCAGGTATTAACAGAAGGTTAAAGCCACAAAAATGCTAAAAAATTTACTACTATACTATCAAAAAGCAAGAGTTTTAAAAAAGTACAAAGTGGTAAGCGAGCCATTTTCAAATCACTGATGTATTTGCCAGATTGCTTGAAAACCCATATGGCTAAAGGGCAGACCAGGAATTGCTTATGCTCACTGGCAAGCAGTTTCTCACTTGAGTAGCTGCACAGGACACTTGTGGTGCGACTAGCTGACCACCCATTTAAGGGTTGCCCATTCTAGCCCAATCCTGATTTTAAAGACAAGCTTTTGCCTGTCAAATTGACATGAAGGTGGCTGGGATTCCTAGAGTAAAGAGTCAGCAGAATTCAAAGATGTTCCAACACACGTTGATGTTCTGTTCACACAGAGAAGTAAATCCAACTGAAAACAAAAACCTACTTCACGCTGTATGTACAAGGGAGTTTCCTGGCCTCCCATGTTTCAGAAAGAGAAACTCTACCCTGAATCACAAGCTAACATGGAGAGAAAGCAGAACACCTTCAGCCTTGAAGGGCCCAATCTAGCACATCCCCTGAAGCCAAAGACAGGTCCTTGTCCCCCACCGACTCCCATGCCATCTGAATTAAAACAACTTCATTTCACTGTGCATTCATGGTAGGATTGCCATGCTCACAGTGGGGAAATGGCAGAGAAGAAATGGCCTGCTCAAGCCAGAGGAGGGCTTCCTCACCAATCTCTCAACATTTCCATACTGAGCAGAAGGTTAATTGCGGAGTGGAAACCAAGAGGCATGAAGTTTGGTAGGCTGGGAGCGGTTAAAATAAAACATGAGCATGGTGTGAAAGGCTTCTAGATAGTGCTGTCTCAACAACATGATACAAACTCGATCAGTGCAAGTGTTTGAATAATGTGCTGCCAGAAAGGAAGATGATCTCCTTCCAGAAAGGAAGGAGAGAGGGAAGAACCTACAGCACTCAGGGTGTTCCTTTGTTGAGAAAATACATGGAAGAGTCTTACATTTGGCCTTTGCCTTTTGTATGTCCATAATCTGAACAGCCTGGTAGACCATCTTCACATTTAATCTTCCAGACATGAGTCACGCTGCAAGTCTAACTCAATGGCAATATACTTATCACAATTCAATTCACTCTCAATCCGATTCTGTCCTCATAAAAAATGCCTGGATCTTGACAGATTGAAGTCTGTATCTAGGAAACACTTCTAATTGTGACCATTTTGTCCCAAGTGCTATGCTGAAATTGTATTGAAAACATCCAATACTTACAGGAAAGGCAAAAGGAACTACAAAACAAACCAACAAACCCTCCCCCACCACCTCTACAATACAAACACGCCACTGTTGATATTAATAAAAAGTGTTCTCAAACAGTTATGTCCAATGTCATTACAAAGTAGAAATTATTTTGTTTAGCATCCTAAGGCAAAGACTAGGATTAGATCCTCAGCTGATATGGATGAACGCAGCTTCAGTGAGAGCTAGGAGTGAGCCGACCAAGGCAGATGAGGATTTCTCCCCAGATTCTGAAGATATCTACACCCATTCACACCAGTTTAAGAATCCAATTCTATAATCCTACATGAGTAATCTGTTCCCCTCTCCTCATCCCAGACTTCCCTGGATAACTAGTAGTCATAAGCATGAAGGATCAGATTCTGCCATCCCTGCGCAAGCTGAGCAATGTTTTATTTAATGGCAAGTCACTGGGGCAACTTGTGGAAAAGCAGAAGGTGACAGAATTGGACCCTAAGACTCAGTGGTAACACACTTCCCTTCTTTCTTGAGGCTAAAGGGAGGATGGGATAAAATGAACTTCATTTTATGCCTCCCTTTAGGGAAAAAAATCCATTTCAGTAGATTCCAATGATCAGTTTGGCTTGGCTTAAACACTGCTCTGTTGCAGGAACTGCAACAAGTTCCTGCAAGCAAAGAGCAGGAACTGATGGCAGATCAGATGCCTGATTTCAGTTCCAGCAATTGAGTTTAAACACTACCAAGGAATGTGTTAACACTACACTCAGATCAGCATGTCCTTGGAGAAGAAAGGCCACAACAGCAAAGTAAGTAGGATTTCAACACACAAAAAGAAGACAGGTCATTTCGCATTGAGAGGTAAATTCACAGGTAGCACTGCACAGGCTTGTATACAATGGTGTAAGTTTGGAGATAGAGATAAATCAGCTTCTAATTCTCCCTGGTGAGGGGATCATCAGATTTCTGCTTTTTCCATAGCCCAACTTCTACATGCCAAACAGGGAGAACCGGGGTTTAAGGCTGCTTAACTATTCACTGCTGGTGAGATTTAAGCATTCTCGGTTTGCCCACACCTGCCTATCCTAGTGGGGATGGGCAGCAGTGATCAATACACCTCGTATCCTCCCAGATTTGATAAAAATTCCAACTGAACACAAATTATTGTGGGATATACATAGGCTGTTGGTCTAGATGGAGGAAATTTACCTGCACTGCAAAGCTTCATAAGAAATCACTGGAGGATATTTGTTCTGTTTTAAAGCAAAATATAATCTGTGTATCTCCACTAAACTAGGATCACAAGAGATAAAGCAGTGCAACACTGAAGGAGTTTCTCTAGTATCCCTGGTTAAAATCTCTGAGCAAGCACGTCAGGTCCATGATACTGAACTGACAAACAGGCTCCTTATCCATTGATCTCAGGACTGCATTTGGCAAGTCGATCTGTTTAAGGTACTGTCTTTTTAATCCACACGTCCCAGGGACGAAAAATCTCATCTTCAGTAAAGTGTCAGCTGGATGCTGTTATTTTCCCTCTCGAGGGGTAAATCTGAGACAACTTGCAAAAGCCTCTCTCTGCAGGAAAGCTGGAAGTCTTAGCAGGCGCTGGCTTCTAGGAGTCTGGTGCTTCTGTTGCTTCCTGGACCGTCCTCCTCAAGTTGCCCTTGACTTTGACAAACTCAGGTGCATTTTCCTGCTCTTCCTGTATCTTCTGTTGCTCCAGTTCCAGCTTAAAAGGGAATCACATGTGAAAAAAAAAAGGGGGATATAAAACAGATCATTGAAATACAAGGCAAATAATAAAGGTTTCAATAAGTGGCCATGCAAAACTCTTAAACGGCTTCCTTTCTTTCTCTCATGGAAAAGATAAAGTTGCATTTTTTTGGGAGTATCTGTTCTCATAAACAATAAACCTTTTCAAATTCTTGTCTCTAGCTCGTTCCAGATGCCCACCTTTGCCAGATGGACAAAAACCCTGCAAGCCCCATACAAGAACAAGATGAAGAATTTTTGAAGAAATTCTTGGACATCTTCATTAAATAAACAACAATAATTCCTGTTTCTGGCTTTTACAACAAGACAAGGACAAATGTGCCTTGTGGGAGAACACATGTGAAACAGCTACTACTGAGCACACTTGTAGAATTTATTTTTGAGTGTCTAGATATGGATTTCTGCATCTAACTTGAGCCTCTTTTGGTGTATCTGTTTTGTCTATCACAAAAAAGCAATTAAAAAAGTAAAAATCCTCATTGGCCCTTAGTTTTTCATTTTTGAGAGCCCACTCACTGACATTTTTAACTCATTTGGAGCTCCCACCCATGCAGACACTCCAAATTACCATGTGAGGTTAGATGCTCTGCTCTATGGGGCAAGGCTATAGAGTGCCCATACAGAACACAGCTTACACATGGCACAGGATATGGATTGCTTAGCAATCTGCAGTCAAGGCAGGTAAGTTGACAGGGAATGGTGAAGAGGGAAACAACCCTTTAGAAAACTAGCAAAAGTTCCTAAAAGGAGCTTTATTTATTTATTTATTTATTTTAACAGACCAAGATCTCCCTGCCTACTGGGCACCACTTATAGCTCACCTAAATAATCTCTCCTTTGTCTCTGGTTCACTGGCAAGGGACATGCCTTGCTACAGTAAATCATGACAATGTTCCTCCATGAGCTGTGTTGTCAATTAATGCCATTCCTATGATGTTTACAAAATCACAACATTGTTTGCAATGGGCAGGCTTTTCCTCTTCTAACAGAATTTTCTATTCTACATACATTCTTGGATGGCTCAGTTTCAAATAAAATCTTCCCAGAAGCTGAACCATTTGAAGCTGGACCCTTAAGAGGAGAAAGGAAACATGACAGGATGGTACACTTAAAAATACAATAGCTTTCTCCCTCCAAAAATATTTCTAATCTTAATTAAAACAAAACTACAATAAAACCTCTAAAACCTAAATAATTATGGGATTACACCTCATTTTTAATAGAGTCATTGTTTGGCTTAATTGATTTCCATTGAGAAAAACAGGAGATACTGTTCTAAAGCATTCATTTATTTAAAAAACCCCCACAGTGCTTGATGCACAGTGACTGATGAGTTGTTCACTGTAGAAGTATTTCCTCACAGGTACACAAAGTGCCTTAAGAGGCACAGAGACATTTGGCAGGCCCTGTGCTCTAGCAGCAAGCTTCACCACAGTGAGCACCAACTCCACATCATCTTCACACTCCGGGTCTGAGGATCTTTTCCTTCATTTGAAAACGGCAATGGGCTCATATGTTTTAAGGCTACAAAAGACCTTTTTAAAGTCATCTGGTTTCTTACATAACCCAGGAGAAAGTATCAATTGCTATTTTTATTCATTATGCATCTAGTTTCGATGCACTGCAGTCTAACAGCCATTCTTAGTGCTTCATTTCTTAATAGTTAGACCACAAAGTTGACTAATGCACCACAGTCTCAACGGTTAAATAAGGTCAGTGCTCCACACTCATTCCTGGTGTCTGATTGCACGATTCATTTGACCAAAGGTAGGCACCATATGCAGTTCCTATACAGTAAATAACAAATAGGTAATTGTAGAGTGTGATTTAACTCATCCTAAAAAAAGATGCCTGCATTTGATCAGAGGAAATGTGACAAGAATTGGCTGCTGCTTCTTTCCTGTCTACAAAGGGAGCATCAGGTGAGCAGCTCGGATGCAGATGTGCAAAGGCAGTGTTATTCCCCATCCTACCTGCTCCAGTTTCTGCTGCCGTTTCAGTAGCTCTATTTCCAGGTCTGATTTCTTCTTTTGTGCTTCCTCTTCTTTTTGTTGTTTAATAACTTGATCTCGTTTCCTTTTCTCCATCACTTTCTGTAGTTCTGGTTTGTTCTGAGGTGCAAGACCCCTTCAAATTAAATGGGAGGAGCGGGGGAAACAGGGAAGAAAGATCAGTTTTAATTATCAGAAATTCACACAATCGTAGGCAGGTTTTTCTAAAGTCAAGTAGTTATTTATTTAGATACACTGGCATATAAATAATTAATTGAAATAAAAAAACATGCAGACATTTGCGTGGTTTCTAACAAAAACCCCAAATTAGAATTTAAGTTATATTACTACAGAGGATATTTCTCTTTAACACGCACGCTAGTATTTCTGCTGGATAATTCACTATTTTTACTTTCATCTTTAGTCTTCCCTCTATTCTCTCAATTCCAGAAGAAAGTATTAAAAAAACCATCACAAATCAAGACTCTAGCAGAGCTGGAAACAAATTTTGGACAAAGAGACTTCCCTTGCTGGCTGATAACATGGAGAGATTCTGCAGTCCTATGCAGGGTATTAAGCACATAGAAGTTTGCATGGACAGACCTAAAAAGTGGTCTCCATCTGGGTTTTGTCACATTGCTCCAGAAATTGTGGATTCTGTCCTTCCTTGAAAATGTGAGAGCTTTATCCATGCCTGGCTGTGAAGCCATTTCCAGTGAGAGCTCCCAGTCTACATTCAAAATCACAAAGAGGCTAAGACAACAAAAATCCAGAAAAAAAAATGTTTCAGTCACCGTGGAGACCAGACAAAGGCTGGAGGACTCTCCCTCTCACATGACTTTAGGTATTACATCAAGTGAATGTTTCAAGTCTGTTCAGCATAAATTGTTTTCCAAGCCAACTACTCTAAAATGAGAAAGCTTCCTCTTTGGGAAGATGCATGACTTTATTTATACAGGCACACACACAGATGCACACTCACTGCTACTTATTTTTGTGACTTCAGCTATTTCTTTTATCTCTGTTATACTACGATGTTTTCAAAATTTGTTACAGGATTCAAAGCTCTCCCTGTTATTCAGATATTAGTGTCACTAAAGTCAGAGTAGAAAGATACAAAATTGGCCTTTGTTATTGTCATCTTCCCTGTGAAGACTATTATGTGCAAACATCCAGCACTGAGTTTAACATAAACCATTTTTTTATTTCAACTTTAAGAAATTCAGTAATCTGAATAAGCTTTCAGAAAGTGTATTTTTACCCTTCCCTACTTACTATATATCTGCAGTTGCCTAATTCTTCCATAATATGTATATCTGACAGCATGTCCAATAATACATTAAAATGCCATTTTATTGTGACATCTATGAATGACTCCATATATTATGTAACACTCTATCCCTGTACATACCCTGGCAGCAAAATCAAATATTTAGCAACATGAAAATGCTGTTCCCTATTTCGCATAATAGATCTCATGGCCTGAATGCAACAGAAGCTGTAAGATTGTGTTAATAATTTATTTTTCATGCTATTTTAATTACATTTTAACACATAAAGCTTAAGCCAGGCACAGAAAAGCTGGAGTGATTTTTTTTTACTACTACAGCTACTGTTACTGGGTCAGTGAGAGCTGAATCAATGGAGACTTCCATGTTTGCATTTAGCAACCAAGACAGCTATGAAGCAGAGGCAAGTTCCTAAGTAACATTACTCATAGAATCATAGAACGGTCTGGGCTGGAAGGGATCTCAAAGATCATCCAGTTCCAACCCCCCTGCCACAAGCAGGGACACCTTCCACTAGACCAGGTTGCTCAAACCCTCACCCAACCTGGCCTTGAACACTTCCAGGGAGGGGGCAACTCGGTCCTGCTTTTTTTATAGGTAAGGTTGCACCATAAGAAATCAGTGGCACAAGAGTGATTTAGACATGCTGTAGCTAGAATAAAGGGGACATGCAGAAGAGACAAGTAAATACAACCTCTCAGTCTAATAAAGTGGGGTTGGTAGTCAGATCTGTAAAAAAACAACTGTAACATCAATCCTATTTTCATTCTCCTATGTAAGAAGGAAAAGCAACCAACAGATGGCTACTGGATTAACTGAGAGTCTTGTGTCACCTCCTGGTGATTGTTCTGGTTAAATAAAAAATCCTAAAGCTTTGATTTAGAGTAAGCAAAGTGTACTATAAGATAAGTTAGAGATGATAGGGTTAAAACCTCTGGAAAGGACAGGACCAATACTCTGCAGAGCTGAGGCTGAGTCCTAATAAGTAAAAATAGTTTAAGATAAGAAGAGGTTTTGATTGGATATTAGGAAAAAAATTTTCACTGAGAGGGTTGTCAAGCATTGGAACAGGCTGCCCGGGGAAGTGGTGGAGTCACCATCCCCGGAGATATTTAAAAGATGAGTAGAAGTGGTGCTTAGGGACATGGTTTAGTGGTGGACTTGGCAGTGTTGGGTTTGCAGTTAGACTCAATGATCTCAAAGGTCTCTTCCAACCTAAGTGATTGTATGATTCTGTAAGTGACCAGTGCCTTGATGTACCACAACCTGGATCTTTGTTTGCCCAAAACAACTCTGCAGGTAAATTAACTACATCAGTTCAAGACCCAACAGACACTCCTCACAAGTAGAATGTGGAGAATGATTGGACCAGCACTGGCTAGTATCTTCTACGATCCAGAAATGGCTGTTCAGAGCTGACTGGTCAAAAAGTGAAGCTGCTGGTGCCTACACTGAGTCTCCACAATAAAAAAAGGCACATGTTAAGCAGACTTCTGTAAGAGCACTAAAAGTCCTCCATACCTATGGCAATTTGCAGTAACAAAGCAGAACACAATCCTAATATCAACATTACCAAAAAGCATTTATATCAGAGGTAGTAGAGTGGCATGAAGCACAGAAGACTAACCCTCTTTTCAAAAATACAATTTTTTCTGCTGGTGAAAACCCTCTAAGTATTTCATTTCTGCACCAATAAATAAGAATCTAAAATTAACAGCTTCAGTTAATCAAAATCACAGTAAGAGAAGAGTGGGTATTGAGGACTGCACAATTCCTCTGTGTAATAGGATATTCTCCTAGAAGAAAAGAACTCCATACTATTTAAAAGTGCTTTATGTTTTCTCAAACTTTAAAGAAAAAAAAATAGCCTTAATTTATTGCAGCCTCCACATCCTTCAGAATAAGATCATAAGTCGGGAAACTTCAATATCTTTCTTTCAATGACTATAAACTTCTTGGTGCTAGAAACTGACTTTGATGTTTAATCCCATTAACAAAAAATAGGACAAACACCTATTTAGGCCAGTTTCTTCCAATTCAGTTGGCATTCTGTAAAACATTTCTCCTTCTTCATCACTAAAGAAATGCTCTATTGTATATGCAATTCATTTAGAATTAAGTACCTAAGCCTAGCATTTGTGAGGATTTTACAATTGTGCATAGAAAAGACCCCTTCTCTCCTCAAAATACTACCTCACCAGAGGGGGGAGGGGTGGAAAAAGGAGAGAAACTTTTATAATGTGACTCTTCCTGTCAAACAGACAAATCCAGCTGTGCTCGAGTAGCCAAAGCAATAGCGTCCTCCTCTTCTTTATCAAGGTCTGGGGTCTCAAAAAGCCTGAATGGCTGCTACCAGCAACATTATTCTCAAACACACTCTGAAATACTGTTCTTCTACTTCTGTTTTGTGGATTCCCACAGTGTTGCCTTTGGAAACTCCATTTTGGGTGGCTTCAACGCACTAAGTCACTAATTTATATTGTAGTTAGTTTCTGTTTGTTTAAACGGAGAAGGCTCAACAGGCTTGGTGGCTTTTCCTCCACCGTGTGGTCTGGTGGCTATTTTCTTAATCTGTTTTCTAAATGAGTCCTCCATTGCTGAAGAGATTTATAACAGAACTTTGGCTATTTCTGTCTCTGAAGTTGATGAAATCAAGTTCCAATTATTTACATCTTTAAAAGCAATATACAGAGTAACAGCTGTGCATCCCATTCTAGAATGGAGGAAGCAGCATTTGCATAACATACAAAGAAACACTTGTGCAGAAGTGGAGCAGGCACCAGACTATCACACTGCATTGCAAGAAAGACCAAGTAAGTAGAGAACAGTTTCATGTGAAATAAAATATATTATTTATTTGATTTAAAAGGGGCCCCATAAACTCAGTGCGCTGGGAATAGTGAAAACCCACAGATTTTATCATCCTGCTGGTAACAGCAAAATTTTGACAAATAATTGATAAAATTAAGAGTTCAAAACAAAGTACAGTGCCCAGGTAACCAATACGAAATGTGACAGGGGAGAACTGAACTGCTTCCTCCAAAAAACCACCCTTTGTGAGTATTCATAAAAACAAAGTGAGAAGTCTTTTACAGTAAGTTTTTGCAGAGCAACTGAAATTCAAACAGAAATCAACACCACAGTTAAGAATCAGAGTAATTTCATCTATAAGATGTGAATTAACAAAATGTGTCTGCTAGGTTGCAGGTACAACGTCATTTTGATGAAACTAAAACTCAAGCTGTGTGTTTGGGGTGGGTGGGTGGTAGAACTGATTTTTAGACTCTTACCTTTTCTGATTCATAAGCAGCTCTCTATGGAGATCTTGATGATTCCGGGATGACTTCACAGGATTAATTAGTTTCTGAGGTCTAATTAATTCAGGATTGTCATCATCTATGTAGTCTGGTTCAGCCATAATCTTTCTTGGAATGGGATATGGATCTTTGGGTTCAGTGTCCTTATTCACAGTATCTGTAAAACAGGGGGGAAACTTCAGTAAATCCACATTGAAAGGCCTTTTAAAGATGTATTAAAACATAAAGGCAGTCTATTACATTGGTAACAGTTATGCTTTTCCTAGATTAATTTTGTCTGTAAAGGCTCTCAGAGCAAACATCAGTAGCATCTTTTTAAATAGTCAGCAATTATACAAAAAAGTCATCTCCAACAGCCTTCTTCCATTGACCTGGAGATGCAGATTCCTCCCTTTTTTAAGAACTACACAAATAATTTAGGTGAAGTGCATGAAGAGCCCCATTGATTTTAATAAGCCTACTCAGATGAAGCATTTTTAGATCAGCAACACAGAGAACCTAAAGACATTTAAAATATTGACCATATAAATACTACCAATGTGTACCAAAACCATACGGAGCCTCATTTTCTGCCATCAGTATCATGCCAGCTATGGAGAAAGCATGTTCTGTGCATAATTCCTGAACTGTACTGTACTGAGCAAAAGCTTCCATGTAGAAATTGCCAGATCTGCAATTGTTGGGATGGGGGACAGATTTTTGAGTGGAAAGGTAAAAGAAAAAAAGTTGGGTGAGGTTGTTTCTTAAAGGCTGTATTTCACCCAGTGAAATCCACAGAAACCACTGATCTGAAGGCACGGAGGTCTTGATGATTTATATCATCTGGATATGTGGCATTTTCCTATCCTGCTATAGAAAATGTATCTATACACCAAATCACAACACTTTTAAACAACAGTTGACAAGTAAACTATAGTTTTCCAATAATGTATACGTGACAACTCATCCCCCCTTCCATTAAAAGCCTCAGTCACAAAAAGTTCAGCATCCAAAACAAAGCACATTCAGAGCAATTCTGCCTCTGTTCACTGTGGTGGAAACCTGCACGCAGAATCTGCAATTATCAGTTTGATGAAACATTGGTCCCTCAAAAAGACCCAGTAAAAAGAAGATAATGGCACAGCATGTGGGTTTACAGAGATGAATCAATGGGACACGAAAGAAAAGGCGAGAGACCTCCACTGGCCTGACTGGCAGAACAGCTGAATGCTGCACGCGGTACGTACAGTGCTAGGAGACAAATCAGAGAATCCCTGGGATTTGTCACATATTTTCCAGTAAAAGCTGAATATGTGCTTTAATTTAGATCCCACTGTCACCAGCCCTTCCCTCCCTCTCTCACTCCACAGTCTGTAAAACCTGTCTCAGTTCAGTCTCAGTTTAATCCCTAAACTATTTTGTTTCATTAGGAATCTCATATTGTTGCTCAGGTCTGATGCAAAATCCGTTTGATATAGTGGAAATATTTCCACTAATACTTCAGTACATTAACACTGAACAGTACCACCATCACCCTGCTTGGCCCACATGTGCACTTACAGATGAAGAAGCAAAATAACAGGACTAAGTTTTCAGCAGATGCAATGAAGCTGCTCTGGATTTGAATGTGTCCAATGGATCTGGCACAGCCCTTTCAGCTTCTTTGTTTGAGTGGATGATGTGAATTGTGTTTTATTGGTGCTACATCTCACACACCAAGTTTCTACAGAGCAAATCTGATGAGAAACAGCTTACCAGTGTGAAACGCTCTCAGGGTGGCCCCTGCATTAGTTTTTCAAGGCAAGTTTATATGTAGCTTTTTTGAACTGTGTGGGGGTGCTAGTTCTCACAGGGACCTCTGAAACTAATAAAAAAATTGCCCACAGTTCAAAACTATATAAGTATATTGCTGTACATGACATAAACCTCTTACTGACACTGATAATGCCATAAAAATACTTCTCCCATCACCTCTTCAGAGTCCTTCTTTCTTCAATCAAGCAACCAGCTATTACCACACGTGTCAAACACACAGGATCATTAGTAAATTGAGGTCAAAAGAAACTTGGAAGATTTCTTGGAACCTCCTGCTGAGAGCAGGAACAGCTATGAGATCAGATCGGGTTGCTCAGGACTTTACCCAGTAAGGTCCTAAAGTTCTCCAAGGCTGTACAGCCTCTGTGGGCAACCCTGCTTGTCTGCCATCGTAGTGAAGTTTTTCCTCCCACCCATATGAATCTCTTGTTTCCACTCATGGCCGTTGCCTCTCATGCTTTGGCCACGCACCACGGTGAAGAGTCTGGCTCTGTCTTCTTGGTAAGTTCCTCCCTGGCCCAGGGGGATGCTGTTAGGTCTCCCCCACCCTGCCTCTGCTCCGAGCTGAGCCAGCCCAAGTCCCTCAGCCTCCAGCACAGCACCTGCGCCCCGACCCCAGCCCATATCAGTGGCCCTTCTCTGAATTCTTATCTCCAAACCCTCGCTCTTTCATGGCATGCCATATCAAAAAACCCCAAACTCCCCCAAAAACCTGAACCACAGCATACTTCTCAACATACACCACATAGCACCATGCCATTAATAAAAACTGTGTGGAAGTCTATTCTCTTTACCACAGACAATCAACAAACTAGCTACACTTCTTTTCTTTTTTAAAAAATAAAGACACAGCAATTCACACTTCCTCGGTGTTTGCATCAGGCTTATCACAACTAAAACAAGTCAAATGTTACACATCCAACCTCCACCCAAAACAAACCCACTCTGTGAATATTTGTTTTTCTGTACTCCTCTAGCAGCCCTGTTGCACTGATAGGGCTGCAAGTCTTCTAGAGGGCATTTATCACTGACAGCTCTCTGTTCAAGTAACCGAAAATAACCTGCTGCTGCTTCAAGACTTTTGTTTGTTTAGGTGAAGATGAAAAACACAGAATTACCCTACAACTGTCTGTCATAAACAATATAGTATTTTTTCAACACGAGACCCTGAAAAACAATTTGATTCAATCATTTCTCAGAAAGCTTGATGTAATATTTTGCAGCACGGAGATTTGCTTTTGGCAAGCCCTTAAAACGAAGTCTATTTATTCTTCTTTCTTCTGTCCCATCTCTATTTTTAAAAACTCAGAGGTCAGGAATTGTGGTTTCCTGATGTAACATGAACTCTACTAGCAGCAAACATGAATGAATAAAACTCCCTTGGGAACTGAAGACAGTTTTTTGTGTGTGATTAAGCTGCAGACGATTTCAGCGAGGATTTCCAAATAGAGCCAGTGAAATAGGGCACCCAGTTCCCACTCAGCGAATCCTCTCACACCCTTTGCAAACCTCAGTCTGGCTGGAGGCCACCAACCCAGTCTTGCAGAGTCACTGTGTAATATTATACACAAACAATACAATTAAGATAAGTGTGATTTCTACCTACACCCTTTCAAAGGAAACATTTATAAAAACATGGACAAGTTTCCCATAAAAAGGAAACTGAGGCACAACACAATGGCAGACAGGAACAGAGCTGGCAGCGTAGCCCGAGTTTCACTCTGAGATTCAGGCTTACATCAATAAACCAGTTAAGCTCGATGACAGAATCCCTTAAAAGTCCTTAACAAAGTTTAATCAATACTCAAGCAATAGCAATTAAAAACATATTAATTCCACGAGTCTCTAGTGCTCATCACCACAGAAGTGACAAACCATAAAGCTGCTTTCAGAGCATCGCTAGGTGCAACAGTGGGACATGAATAATCCAAATAATGACTTCGCAGGAATATGCTGCCTTAAGAGCATCCAAGAGGCTCCTTTTAACCATCTACTGTTACAGGATCAATTCAGAATGCACAATCCATTTCTGTGTTTCACAGAATCACAGAATGTCAGGGATTGGAAGGGACCTCAAAAGATCATCTAGTTCAATCCCCCTGCCAGAGCAGGAACCTAAATGAGATCACACAGGAAGGCGTCCAGGCGGGTCTTGAATGTCTCCAGAGAAGGAGACTCCACAGCCTCCCTGGGCAGCCTGTCCCAGGGCTCTGTCACCCTCACCATAAAGAAGTTTCTTCTCAAGTTTAAGTGGACCCTCCTGTGTTCCAGCTCACACCCACTGCCCCTTGTCCTACCCTTGGGCATCACTGAGAAGAGCCTGGTTCCATCCTCCTGACATTCGCCCTTGCCATATTTATAAACATTAATTAGGTCACCCCTCAGTCTCCTCTTCTCCAAGCTAAAGAGCCCCAGCTCCCTCAGCCTTTCCTCATAAGGGAGATGCTCCACTCCCTTCATCATCTTGGTGGCTCTGTGCTGGACTCTCTCAAGCAGTTCCCTGTTTCCCTCTTACCGTGCTCCAAAATGAAGAGATCTGGATTCAGGGGATGTTTTAGCTGAGCTCGGCTCAAGTTTAATACACCCACTAGTTTGCCAGGTGCTTCCCCAGTGCATTTGCTGAATTAGCTGTTGCTGCACAAGCGGTACAAAAACCTTTCTGTACCCCACCTTGTCCTGTCTGAGTAACTCTACATACTTTGTCCATGACTTCGTACATACATATGCTTTTTCACCCAGGAAGAATAAACTGAGGATCCTGCATGGAAGAGGAATTTTAACTCCTCAATTAGAACTGCAGAGCAATTTCAATATCCCGCTAGACAAAGAAAATGTCTCTGTATAAAAGTAAGTTCAAGTATCTTCCCAGACAGAAGTTTAATGGCTTTGGATATGAAGATGCTCTTAGAGCAATCAATAAGCACCGTACTGGTACCTCAGTCTTGGAGAGCCAGGACCAAGTGGCCACATACTTACAGTTCTCTAATTTATTTTCTTTGGAGTGCAAGTAAATTCAGGGAGAACAGGGAAGACCCTTCAAGTTGATCTTACTGAATAGATACAACTGAACCAAGGTGTGCCAGGAGCATGCAAGTTACATTTGAGGGAACACGTCCAACAAACACATTTGCTTCCCATGTTCCTTGTTTTTTATCCTACATATAAAGGGTTTTCTTCAGCAAAAGTCCCTTAACAGTAGTCAGACTGGAAACATGTGTGCAAAGGGAACTACAGACAGCCACTAGTACTTTAAACAGATTCAAAGTAGATCTTAACAACACTGGATTAAGGATTCAAGCAGTTGCCAGAGCTTTTGCTACAACAGGGCTCCCATAGCTTCCACATCAGAGGGAAGTTCATGCCA